CTCATTCTGTTTCTCTTCCCCAATCCCAGACCGCAGTGATGTGGGCGCGGAGGTCAGTGCTTGCAGCTGGGGCCTCCGGAGAGGGGCCTGGCGGGGCGCCGCGGGAGGAACCGAGAGCCGCCCCGGGGACACAGCGTGCTTGGCCCCTGCCGTGTGTGTGTGTGTTGGGGGGGGGGAGGGAACACGTGTGTCACTGGACCTGACAGGCGGAGCAGAAACGTCCCTGGTGATCTATAGGGGTGCCATATGGATCCCTTAAGGCGAACGCAAACAGAGGTCGTGGAGAGCAGGCCCATGACGGGCCAGGGTCCGCTGGGGAAGTTGCAAGGGTTTTACGGGATTAGGACATTTTCTGAACCTTGTCCCACAGGCCCCTCTGGGAGGGGACTCCATCTGGGCCCAGGGGTGAATATATTATGGAACTTGTGGCGCAGCCAGCTGGGAAAGGACTGGCCCAAAGCAGCAGCCGCAGGACCCATCCAGCTGTGGTCTGGGTCCCTAGGGCTGGACAGTGGCAGAGGAGGAAACAGAGGGTCCTAGAGGCAGAACTTGTATTCTTCCTTCTCTGCTTTGTACCTCAGTTTCTCCTGTGTTAAGTGAGTGAGAAGAGCAGGTGCAGTTTGAAGGGAGGTCTTGTGTGTGGAAGACACACAAGGTCTCAATTACAGGCAGTTTTCACACTGTCCTGTTTTGTGGACCCTTGCTTTGGGACCTTCCTTAGCTCTCCTGAGCACAGGCTGCTCTGGGGTTTCCCAAATCTTTGAGCAGGGAACTCTGAAGGACCTGGGCAGGGTCAGTCAGGTGACAGCCCCTTCCTGGTCTGGTTTCCTCAGTTGACACCTACTTGAGATGACCACCAGAGCACAGACAGAAAGGCTTGAGTCATGACAACGGCGTTATCTGTTTTGTTGAGGTCATTTCTGCTCCTGTTCCTTCCTGACTCTGTGGCACCCTAGTCCGCCACCCAGTGCCTGGTCCTTCCTGTTCAGGAGACAACCTTGTTAGACAACTGAGGTCCATGGACCAGCTGGGCTGTGCAGTCAGCTTGTGTGCCTCAGGATACCTCATCCAGCTGGCCACCCTCTGGTCTTTTTCTCCTCTGGGTCAGAGCTGGAGGTAGTGGGTGCCCTTTCTGGCTTCCAGGCCTAGGGTGCCCTCTCCAGCATGAATGACTGATGGAGAGCTCTGGTGACCTCACAGGGAACTAACTGCCCCCAGCCTGGGCTTATATCATAGCTTTTGCAGAGCAGGCCTTTGGGGTCCAGTCTACCTCTGAGGTTAGTCAGCTTCTGAATCTCCCCTTGCCGTTTATCTTTGGGTGGTCACTTAACCTGTCTAAGGCAATGGAGTCATTAGGAGTGGGAAGGGTTTTAACTGCTGTGGAGTGTGGTACACACAGATGGAGAAGATAGTATTGTTGGAGCAAGAGGCCTTTCCTATCATGTCCCCACTTCTCTTTGGGGCAGCATACATGGAGAGACTCAGGCTGCTAGCTTCAGGGGTGAGGCCCTAGGCAAAGTACCTGACATCCCTTGAGACCTGCCCAGTGTGGACCAAGTCTCTGCTCCTCTAGGGTGATTGTGTGCCGTGTAGGAGCCTTTCAAGGGTAGGAGGCATTCTGACTAGATTGACTGTAACCATGCTGGCTCTGAGTTCTTAGGCCTGTGTTTTACCATCTCTGAGCTACAAGTGTTCTCAGAGCTCTGAAGTGGAGGTGCTGGAGGACAGAGCTGTTCTGAGATAGGCCTGCAGTGTTGGCATGAGGTTCAAGCCCCTGCTATTAATCCGGGCATGGGTGACTGGCACTTAATTGCCAGGCTTCCTGGGAATAGGTCCCTAGGGCTCCTGGGTATTGAGCATCTCTGGTTGGGTGGAGTAGGGCAGGAAGCAGCTTCCATCTGGAGTTCTGGAGGGGCTGCTCCCTCCTGCCAGGCCTGTTCCCAGCCACCCACCCTCCCCAAGGAAACTGAGGCTGGCATGCTGCCTACAGGAAATGACTCAGTGGGGGTCACTGGCTGAGTCATGCCTAATTGGACCCAGGAGCCCTGCACCCCAGCTCCCAGCTTCCGGGGGCTTGAGGTCCCTAAGGGACTCAGACCTGGCTGCATGTCCTTGGCCACTGTTAAACACCATCTGCTTGAGCCCCATGATTTAGACAGCCAGAGTCTCTTGGTCAGTGTTCTGGGGTCCCACTGACCACCATTGGGCTATCTAGCCCAGTCCCGATGAGACAAGAGACAGGTCCCAAAGGGACCTGATGGCCTGCCCCACCCTGGCCTGCCGGAAACCCAGCAGCTGAGCAGATGGCTGAAAGATTTTTTCCTCCCACACAACCCTGTCAAGGGTCGGCAGGGGGGCCAGCCCCCCCTTCCTTGTGAGCCAGGCCTGGAGCCCCTTGGGGCCTGTCCGGATGTGCCCCCCAGCGGCTGAGGGGGTTGCAGCTTGGTTCCCAAAGAGGCCTGGAGGGAGGAAGTGTGTGCCCTGCTTGTGGGGCTGACTCACGGCAGCTGACTGGGGGGTGCGGCCTCTTGATGCAGGAGGGAGACTTAACTTTTAGACCCTGCACGGGTGGCATCTCCACAGAGACCCGAGGATTCATCTGGGTGGGAAGGGCACACCAGGGCCAGAGGCTGGCTGTACATTCTCTTTTAAAGCCACAGACAGTTCAGGAGCTGGGGAGGCTCTCCTTGATAGCAAGGGATATCTGCCACCACCTCTGCCACTGTCAACCCTGGGGTTGGTGAAGGTGAAGGAAGCCCTGTCTTTTATACCACTCTTGGGGGCTTGTCCCCTGCTTTCCCCAGCTCTTGGAGTTTACTTGAGGTAGTGACTGTCTGGAATGTCAAGTTGCCAGGATTGGGGTGCAAATAGGAGTCAGAGCAGACTGGGCCAGCCTGGTGACCCCTGGATGGGCCTCACTGGCTGTTAAGTGGTCTAGCCTTAGTCTCCCAGGGGCAAGATGATTGACTCGCATCCTGCTTCTTGTGGTTCAGAATATGAGATACGTGCACTGGTTCTTTTCAGCTCTGCAACATAGAGTCAGTTTGGAGGGCTCCCTGAAGGAGGCAGCCTTTAGAGGGTGGTATGGAGTTTTACTGTCCCAGGATCTAGGGGTGGGGCAGGCACAACTCTTGGGTATACACACACTGAGCAGCCCTCCGTGGCCTGGCAGGTGGAGTATTCCAGATGTCCTCTGCACCTGTGAGATGGAAGTGGTGGCCAAGCTGAGAGGTAGCAACCTTTCAGCTATCTTTGCAGTCATGGACTGGGGGGTGATCAGAGAGTCTCCTCCAGCAATCTTCTATTCTCGCTGACTGGACAGGCCCACTGTGTCCTTGGGGTGGCTGTGCCTGAACAGGAGCACCAGCCACTGCTTATCTGGGTTGCCTGAGACTGTCTTGGGGCAATGAGGGTGTAGAGATGACACCCACCTTGCTGATTGCAGGGAGCTAGCTGCCCTGCTTGGGGATGGGGGAATAATCTCCCCAGGGCCTAGCTCTTTTTTGTCACCTGGGCTGAGCCTAGTGGGCAGATGAGGCTGTATCTTCTCTGTGGAGAAGGCAGGAGAGGCGAGCCCATTACAAGCTGAACCTGGGGCTCCTGGAGCTGAGCTCTGCTCCTTCCTTCTCACAGCTGAGCAGTTGTGTTTCATCTCCTAGCACTTGGAAAGTGTTCAGTCAGTCACTGGAGGGGACCATCTTCTTGCTGCCTAGCTCCCTGGCCATCAAGCCTGGAGTCACCTGGGCCTGGGGACAGCCTGTGTTCCACAGCCATGGCACCCATGCTGCCTGACCCAGAACTGGGTTCCTCCTGAGGCTTGGGCTTCGAAGGTGGGCCGCCTGACTCACCTCCACTGTTCTTCTAAGTGCCAGGGACAAGCAGCACAATCATTCTTTTCTCCAACCTCTGCCAATCTACCACAGCCCTTAGAGTGCCAGTGCAGGTACCTATTAATGCCTGCCTGCCTGTCTTGCTACTGTCCAGTGCAGGGTTGGGTGGAGGCAGCTCCTAGGGCTGTGGGGGTAGGGACCCATGGGGTGCTCTTCTCCTCCCAGGGGTGTTCTCAGTGTCCCATGTTGGAGTTGGGGTGGGTGGGATTTGACCTGAGACTGGAGTGCCAGCCTGCCTTGCCCAACTGCAGAGGCACCTGGGGGCACTTGCTCTGAGTGGACCGTGGCCGCGGCAGGAACACCTCAGAGTGGTGGAGATGGATGGTACACAGTGTTCCTGTCTTCAACCTCTGCTTGTGCACAGGCCGGATGGGGGTCTATCCCCTCCAGATGGCTGTGGGACTCTGAGCAAGCCCACCTCCCATGCCTTAATTTCCCCATCTTTAACCTGGGCCTAAGGACAGGACATCCAGCAAGTGAAGATTCAGAGAGCCTGGAGTAGAGCCAGAGTGGATGTGCTTTCTTTGTCCACTGTGACTGCTTCTAGATAGTTGGTAGGTGTGGGTTGTGGCAGGGCTGCTCATCCCTTTCCACTTCAGCAGAGCTGAAATAGTCCCTCACACTCCTAGCTCCGTGCTGTAAGCACTCCACAGGATATAGGAAGTGAGTTGGTTCTTGGGGTGCACTTGGGCTCTTTGGAGTTCCCTCTGTGAGTGCTGCACCAGTCGCCCTGTGCTTCCATTCTTGCACCCTAGGGGTTCTGTGATGCCTAGAGTTCATCCTTGCAGAAATAGTCAGAACAGTGCCAGGGCCTAAAGGCGTTGGGTGCATGTCGAGCGTCACCTTTGTGAGGGGGTATTAGAGTGAGCACACAGCTGGACCTGGCTAGCAGGGAGTGTGGAAGGTCTTGCTAGGGTCTGCCTCTGTAGCTGACCCTGATATACAGAGTGTGCAGGCACAGGTTCCAGAGAAGGGGCAGGTATGGACAGAGTCTAAGGTGCCAGAAGGCAGGCTAGGCAATATGGTGGCTAAGGTGACTAGGGTGATGCTAGTCACTAGGCATCTGTGTACCTGTGTTTATCCTTAGACTGGGGTGCAGTTCAGTTGGAAGAGCCACTTTACATAGTGTGTGGGAAGCCTAGGTTCCATCCCTAGCACCATAGAAACCCAGTACATGTTCGTAAACCCAGATCTCAGAAGTTAGAGACAGGAGGAGGTCAGCCTGGGCTACATGAGGCCATGTCAAGAGGAAAAACTTCTTTATTCATGCCAGGCCTGCCGGAGGAAGATATACCCAAATCCAGTTTGGGCTGTGTAGTAAGA